GGAGATGGGGAATTAGTGTCTCAGGCACTGCTCTGACTCGGACCTGTGATCAGCAGTGCCCAGGGCTTTCTTGCGGTGGGCTGGGTAAGCAAACAGCAACAGCACGTGGAAAAACTCTGCTGCCTTTCACCCCACCTACTGCAGGAGCACTTTGGCTTCCTGTTACTGTTCCATTGCGCTGGGCAAATGCATCCAGGGACACTCCTTCCTCTGAGCAGCTTTCAGTCTGTCCTGGCAAAGGGCAGGAGCAGGGGAAAGCAATGCCCAAGGGTGAAATGTGTTGGCCATGGTCATGCAGCTGGTTGGAGACAGACACAGCTGTGTATCCATCTGCCCTGTCCGGTGCTCTGGAGGTCTTGGGCAAGCAGAGCAGGTCTTTCGGGGGAGTGGTATGTACAGGAAACACTGGGAAATACCTGTTAGGTTGGTACCACTGCGGTCAGCACCAGTTCCCTCAGCCACCCTGTCATTTCCCAAACGAGAATCTGCAGGGCAGTCTGAGGGAAGTGCTTCCTCCTCTCTATGGCAAGGAGTCTTGATCTTTGCTGGATCTCAGACTTTACTCCCCTGTGGGATGCTAGCTTTAAAAGAAACAGCCATTCAGTCAGTCAGGTGTGAAGTTGTTTTATCCAGAATTGCAACCTCACTGCTTTACTGATGGCAACGCAGGCCTGCTTCAGGGCACGGGCTGATGTCTGAGTCAGACGTGCCTAAAAGCAAACACCTGGCCTTCCCGCCGAGCTATCGAACCTCAGAAATCGTCTCAATGAATGCCAGCGCTTTCTATTTTTAGCTTTTGCTAGAAGACACAGAGAATATATCTGCATCTGAGGGACATGACAGTGAGTGGCACAGTTCAGATGCTGCCCAGATCCCCTTGGGTTTAGGTATGTGCATGGTCCTCTCGACCCAACTGTGTAGCTGAGCAAGCTCAGTTTCTAGCCACCACTCCTGCCAGGGTTGTATCTTGCAGGCAATACCAGTGAGCGTTAAATCCACGCACAAACCCTCTTCTAGGGGAAGGAACAGCACCTCAGTGCTCCCTTTGATAACTGTGTGACTGCCACGTGACCTCCAGATGAAATAATGAACAAGCTCATGGTTTGGGCAAGCAATAACTAATAGTAAATAACGACCCTTTTGTTGGTCATCGTGCCGAGCCATTAATAGTAAATGCACATTTACAATGCAGCTTTAGGGAAAGCAAGGCTGTCTCGAGTCAATGTTTCTCTTTCTGCTCTTGGGGCCATTTGTGAGTTGGCACAACTCTTGTCTGTGATGGGTATCTCACAGCAGTGACCCCAAGGCCCTGCTTCACGCTGTGTTCACCCAGGGTGTGAGTGAGGGTGTGGGAGAGCCGGCAGCAAGGAATTACAGTCTGGGGACCATGCTGGGGGCTGGTGAGTCTTATCTTGGAGACTTCCCTGTGTGGCTGAGGGCTGGAGGGCCTGTTAGGAGACAAGGGAGGTCTGTAGAGACCCCCAGGAGTTGGTTCGTGACCGGTAAACATAATTTACTCCTTTGCCATCAGTGTATTCTGCCTAGCCAGGGCCAGTGTCCTCTGCCAAGCCTCCGCTGGCAGCTTCTGGGTGCAGCCGGCGCCGGTGGAGTCTCCTCTCCCCGCGGCTCCCCAGGCAGTTGATACCTATCCAGGGCCACGCCGGGCAGGCGGGAATGGCTCGTCTCTTTGTGTTAGTGCCCCGTGTCCTGTTGCAGTGCCGAAGCCTTTCTTGGGTTACGGGGGGGTGTGTGCAGTGTCAAGTGATCGTGCCTCGCAGGCTGCTGCTGTTCAGCACCACATTTCTCCAGCCTAACTCAGGCTACAGGCAGTTTCTCTTGCTCCAAAATCCCTTTTCCAGCCCTGTACCCTGATAAGTTTTGGTCTTTCCCAGAAATGAGTGTATCAGGGATGGGGTGGGCAGGTTGGAGCCAACTGGCTGGGTCTCACAGGTTTGGATGCGAGACGAGCGCTGCTCTCCTGCCAGGCTGGGGTCTCGCACCTCTGCTGTGCCCCTTCACGTCCCACCCCTCTGCTTTGCGGCCCTGCTGGGGGGGCAGCCTGGTTTCGGTTCTGCTGGGCACTTCTGTGCCCCAGCACTTGCGGTGAGAGGCAAAGACACCCAAGGAGTTGGCCAGGGGTGTTGGAAAGTGGATGAGCACCACAGGGACAGACACAGTAGTCAAACAGAAATGGGCTGCTCTGAACACTGCTGCAGGGCCATCTCCTTCCTACAGCCCCATGAGAAGTCCACTGTAATCATTAAGCTGCCCTCGACTCTATGCAGCTTCTGGTTACGCTGCCTAATCTGTCACAAGAGACAGCGCTGTCTGATCAACCATGAAAGCAGCTTAGATGAACTCCTGCAGAAGTCCACCTGGGTGTCACCACAGAAAGGGGTGGCAGAAGCCTGCTATGGGAAGCACTATGCAGAAACACTTTCTTCCAGCCCTTCCCTTGGCTTCTGTTTTTACCCCCACAGGCTTTCATCTAGGTTCAGAACAGACGCCAGTAAGCGGAGAAGCAGCTTAATTTATTTATGGTATGCATTAACATTTATTCAGCTGGTTGCTGTGCATTGAGTAAAGTGGCAACTTGATAGGTGCCAGCCATTCCCCCTGCTGCCAGTGGAGCTGGGGCTCGCTCTGTGCAGGCAGCCACAGACTCTTCCAGAATGTGGAGCTGAGCAAATGTGATGCCGTTTTGCTAAGGGGGGAGGAAAGGATGAGTATCCTGCTGCCACGACAGCCAGGAAACTCCACCCAGGACAGCTGAGCACCTAGAAAGTGTATCCAACTCTGATCAACTCTGGTAGGGATAGCGCCGGGGAAGATGCCTCAGGGCTTTAAGCCAATTTCTTTGCAGAATTCCCTGGTGACTTTGGTTATCTCTCTGCATCCCTCTGTACTCACCACAGTGAAGAAGACACGGTGGCGTGCCATGTACTTGATGATCAAGGCAATGACAGCAGGCCAAGGGTGACACCAGAGCAGCCACCTTCCCCACCCATCACCAGCTGCGAGGCTGTGTCCTGTGCGGACCTACATGGCCCTGTGAGTTTCACATTGTGTCCTTGAACCCCCCAGAGCAGATCCCCCACCTCTATCATCCAGTTGGCTTTCTGTGCATAGCCTGGAGCTGCTGCTCTGCTTCAGCCTCACTATGATGCTTTTAAATATCCCTCTCCAGAGTCTCACCCAGTAGTCTGCCAGTAAGTCCCTGTTGGTACTGGGGACACATTCACCCTCAGATAGCAGTCATGTCCCTGCAGTTGGCACTCCTGTCATGTTAGGCCAGTAATGAAGGCTCAGGCTGGGTTAGCATTTAGAGCCCAAGTACCTGAGCTAATAGTTCAGTGCATGCCCTCCTTCGTGCCATACCTGCTTTGTGGTGAGAGGCACTCTATTGTAGAAAAAACATCTTAAGAAAGCTAAAACCAAGGCCTCGTTCACCTAGCAATAATATTTAGACATCTGTGTGCATTGGAGCATCTGTGTGCATTATCCAGCGAGCTTTAAATGCAGCAGATGTCTGTGCGCTGGGAATGTGGGAGTCATTGCACTCATTTCTTTGGAGGCCTGGCAGCGTGCACAGGCTGAGGGTCCAGCCTGATTACACTGGAGAAAAATGGAAATATGAAAAGTCTTGTAAGCTCCGAATGTCCCTTAGCAGCATCGTAATCACATAATCAAGGCCAGCTCAGCTTGATGTGATTTGTTTCATTATGAAACATAATTCTCCCTGGAATTTTAGTTCTTGCCTGCCCTCCACCCCCAAATGTGCCAGCTCACAGCAGAAATTAATGTTGGGGGAGGGAGGATTCGAGTGCGAAGGGGACCCAGACGTTTAAATATTGGTTTAACACATGCTGAGCGTCCGTTGATAAAGACATGCTGAATTAGCAGGGTGGGTTTCAAGTTCTGCCAAGCAAAAACCCTGTGGAGGTACTCGTGCTGTGCAGTGCTGAGCCAGCCAACAGCCACTGATTTATGCAGTATATTACTGCAGACCTCATACTGCGCTTCAGAGGTGGCAGGGAAATATTGGGCCCCTGACTTACTCTTCTTGAGGATTTGGCCCATGGACTTATGGTCCTCATTTAAGGTTTTCTGGAATTTGGTCAGAGAGGTCCCATCCCTGGTGAAATTTGCTTTTGGGGTGTGTCCATGCAAAAAAATTTAAAAGATGTAACTCAGTGTTGAAATGACTTATTTGAGAAATTGTGTTTGTTTTAAAGGCAGTTTGTAAGCCTTTCCCTTTGCTAGCTTTTGCAGTGGAGGCATTGTGGGGTGGTCCCTGCTCGCCGTGCCGAGGCACCAAATCAGCCTGGCGCTCGCAATTAGATCCCACCCTGAAACCCTGACAGTTCAGAGCCCTGGGCCGCCTTGGCCCGTGGGTGCTAACCGCGCACGTGCCGTGTTTCCAACACGGTTGTCACTCTCGGTTTCATTTTTACACGGCTTTGTACGGCTATTTACCTTGCAACTATAATCCTTCTGCCCCGATCAGATCTGCAGGAGCTTTCAGTGCTCAGCAAGAGAAATGATGCCGTTAGACACAGGAGGAGCTCATCTGAACTAGCAGTCCCGTGTGCAAAGCGGAGCAGCACCCAAATATTTCCACGCCTCATCCTCTTGCTTCTTTCTAAGCTTATCATGTGTCCTTTCATCTCCAGACAAGTGACTGACACAGTTCAAACCCCACTTGGCACCTGCCTATCATGCAGCATCCAGGCCACAAACAGCCCTGGCCAGTAACACCAAATTTCTTTTCTACCTTTATTCCCGAGTTTCACTTCTTTGCAGCTAATCGAAGTTAACAATGACTGTTTAACCCTTCATCCACTAAGTACAGCCCCCGCTTTCCTACCAGCGACCACTTTTCCCCGGGCAAGATAGGTCACTTGTGGGACACTGTTCCAGGCCACTCCACACTGACAAACCTCCAGCCAAAACTGTTCAGCAACCAAAGTCACTTGCCAGGGACAAAAAACCACCCTCACCTTGTAGCTGCAAAGAGAGATTTCTGATCAAATATAAGCTCTCTCACAAGGGGCACACGCAGCCTGTTCGTACCCGATGAAAGCATCAACCAGGCAAATCGACAGCTCTCAGGTGGGAGAGTTTGCAGGCTCGGACTCCCCGAAAGCTGCTAGTGTTCCCCCAGACAAACCCTCATCTTCTTATCTAGGGAGTGACTGCGGGAGGTGACTTCTCGCATGACTTTCTGCTTATTCTGTCTACCCCACAGGCCAAGTCTTCACCTGGGATACATTAAGAGAGCTGCTAAGATCAGGAATAACTGTTACTGATACCTAAATGTTTTCTACAGCTCTTCACCCAGTGACTCCCTGGCTTCTCTGGAGCTGGGGTGGTTTATAAACAAGCTGCATACCAGGCTCTGCACAAGCACCCATCCTACCAATTCCCTCTACTTCCAAAGATCCAAAGGGCACTGGAGTTTTTGTGGTTCACTGAGTAGTTAAAAGAGGATAATCATTAACCTGCTGAGGACAGTCTTTCTTTTGTTAGGCCCTTTATCAGGTTATCTTGCTAACATAACTGGAGAGGATCTGGCTGGCGGGTGGGGATGAGGGGAAGCAATGTTCTGCGTGGCTTGTCTCTTCTCACAAAATCACAGCTGTCCCCAGCATGGGAGGCGGTGGCACAGAAGTAAGGTGCATTTTTGCTGCCAGGTCAGGCTAGCCCATTGCGTATGAAGGTCTGGATTCACGTGGCTTTGCTGGAGTCCCAGCCTAAAACTCCCCAACATGTCCAGATCTCCAGAGGTGCTTTTGCTATAGGAAACCTTAGATGTGTTTGTGGGCATGACTTACCGTACAGGTCCTTTGCGCTCAGCTTGGAGGCTCCGTCCGCTCTGCCCATGCTGCCACTGTAAAAGAGAGAAGGTACAAATAAACCATCAGCTCACGGATCTTTTTAACATCTGCTTTCACACTGCAGCTCACACGATAATGAGCACAGCAGCTCTGCAGCTGTCCCGAGAGGGACCAGCCCTGCCCTCCTCATCACGTCTATCAGACGTGATACGACTCCGAATTACCAGGCAAAGCATTTGCTTGTCCGACCGTGCCAGCGGCTCCCTCTGCAACCCTAGCTGTTATCCACACCGCAGGCGTGTGTCACTAAACCCAGCAGCTGGAAACAGGAGACAGAAGAGCTCATCTAGGCCAGTCCCCACTAGAGTTACCTTCACACGCAATGTCCTCTGGAAGGACATGGCTTCTGAGAGGGCTGTTTTAAGGACAGCAGCTCCCAGTGTGCGATAAGCGGGGTTGTTACAGGGAGCAGTGCAGGTAAAGAGAGACCCCTCTATATTATACCTGAGTCCACCTGAAGCTGAGGCAGTGTAAGTGCCAAGATTAAGATCCCTTATTAATAGACCCTTTTCAGATGTACTCCTTGAAGGCAGATGCTCAGATGTAGAACATGTCCCATGTAAAAATGGGACATAATTGTGTGTAAACACTTGAGTTTTGGGGTGTCAGGTCTCTAAGCACGGGTTACATCCCCTGTAGGACCACCCCCCCATACCTGGGTTGTGCGTAGGAGTGCTCAGCCAGGAGATAACAGTGGTTTCTCTGGCTCTGGCCTGGCAGGGGAGGATCAAAGCAGGACCTGAGGGTTTCAGGTGCTGTGGTCAGGCTGTCCTTCACAGTGCAGTGCACCAGTGGGTGGCCAGTGGCTACTTTCTACTCTGTCATCATGTCCCCCTGAGGGCAGGCAGTGATTCATGGTGCTCATACACCTACACCCTGCTCTCCAGAGACCAGGAGCGTGCAGGAAGGAGGGAGTGAGCTGGTGGCTCTGGCTCCATCAGGAAGCTGCCACGGACTGCCGTAGCCCCCAAGCCCCAGGTGGAGAGGCTCCTGGTGTCCCTCTCCTCTCTGAACCTAATGTGGCATTACCAAGCTACAGTGCGCAGGGCACGTGAGGTGTGAGGCAGTGATGCTGACTATGGCTACAGCTTGTGAGGTGCCCAGGAAGGGTGAAACAAACACCAGGGACTTGGAGGGCAAGTAGGACTGCTAGGAGCATCCCCCTGGGTGGTAGGAAGGAGTGGTGGTGCCAGCCACGAGATGGACGAAGCCCACCACGGAGATCCTTACTTTGATGAGCCAGGGTTGCTGCTGAGGGATCCCTTGAGACTCATGTCGCTTCGCAGGACAGGCAACTGCAGCAGAAGCAGAAGAGACAGGGTTAGTGATTAGAAAACACGCTATCAGATGATTTATCTGTGTGCGTGCTGCCCTTCCCACCTCTGATTTGGGGTTTCCAAGCAGCAGCGTGGGCGGATGAGAGCAGTCAGGTGAGCACGATGGGGTTTTCTTGCCACTCTCTGCCCTGTGGCTCAGACACCTCTCACAGCTCTGACCTGGGCTGCAGATGACACATCCCAGGATGCCTTTCCGAAACCTATTTCCACCTCTCCCCTCTTGCCCGTCCCTTCCAGGCACACCCTGGCTTTGTGGTATTTCAGCACGTCTTTTTCTAGCAAAGCAGCCCTGCCTACAGTGTAGCAGGGACTGATGTAGCCTTTGCCTTTATGGTCTGTCAGAGGCCATTAACAAACATATGGATCCCTGTGGCCATGTGCTCATGATTGTAAGTGTCCTGAGTCATTTTTCTTGCCTATAGTGCCATTATCTTTTGATATGTGGCAATTGTAAGCTCTACACCAACTGTTAAAGTACCCTTACCAGGGTATTGCGCGCATAGAGAAAAGTGAGATAGTTGTATATGCTGCTCCACTGGCAGCATAAGGATGGAGAAAAATTTACTGTGATGGCTTGGTGAGAGGCAGACAGGCTCAGTTCCCAGATTTTTTCCCTCCTTGTTAAGATGAGAATTATAAATAACGTGAGAGAAGATGTGAGAGAGATCCAGGCACTCTGAGAGCAGAACTGCAAGGGGAAAAAAAACAGAAGGGAAGACAAGGTATAGTAAAACCTCAGGGGACACTTTGTGTTGGCATCCAAGATATTCACCTCTGCTCTAGTGCATGAGTTGAAGGAAAGCCAAGACAAAGTCTTCAAGTTTTTTATTCGCTTTTGAAAATCTCGGGGGGCACCTGCCTGTGGGCTGGGCACTCAGCGCCTCTTTTTTGCTTCACCTGGGTTGGATCCTGGTCACCTCATTATAAGGTTGTCAGAATTCAAAGGTATGGCTTTAAAATACTCGTTGTTGTCCTGAAAGAAGAACTTAATCAGTGTATTCAGTAGGATTTCCTGCGAAGGAACCTTTGAACGTGCTTGGTGTGTGCTGTGGGGCCGCTGTGACGGCCATCCTTGGCAGGCAGCGGAGCTGCCTCGCAAGGGTTTTTCTTAACTGAGCTTAGGCTAAATTGTGTGTAATCCCTGGGGAATACTTTGGAGTCATCCCTGGCACCTGGGATTTCGCCTCTGGAGGCTGACTATCTCTGCTGCAGGGCTTGTATCATCAACAGAGCTGCCCTAGATTCCTTACGTATCCGTTTGTATTCTTCGTGTTGGAAACACTCATTTATGCTATTTTGCTCCATGTGTTTCACCCTGAGGTGAGGGCAGATACAGAGTTTTCTCACTGATCTTAACAAAACTGCATGCCTGTCAGAGGGATATATTTTGTGGAAATCCAGCTCTCCAGGCGAAGCACACGGCTTGTGTGCGTGCTGCACAGTGGCACACCGCTAACACTATTGCACAGCCACACACACGCACGTGTACAGACAGACTGTATGGAGGACCCCGGCATGTTTTGGGCTCAGCCTTACCGCTTTCAGCCTGCTTTGTGTCGCAGTAATACTCCTCAGCACTGAGACACTGTTTGAAATTACTTTGAAGTGCATTTTGTAGCTGGTATATTAAATTCTCCCTTTTTCGTTTTTCTTGTGGTTGATACTAGAGTCCATGCACACACACACACAGAGATATAAATTCATACACATGTTAGAATAGAAACTTGGTGTTCTGCCAACCCCTCTGAGTGTAACAAAACCCGTCCCTGTGTCCAGGCTTCGGTACCTGTGAATTTTTCCTTTCTTAATAGCTGTCTGCTGGTTTCCTTTTACAGTCCTCAAACTTCCTATCTCCCAGATCTGTGTGTGCATTAGCATAAGATACCTGGAAAAGGGAACGTGCTCTAATAAACCCAGCTCTGCTCTGTTTACTTTACACCATCTGATCACTTTAGTCCTATGGCTGATGATCATAGCTAGGAATGTTTCTGCATATTAATGTAATATTTCTGGCTCCCTTTCACTTACTGCCCCAGGGCCGTGTCCTTAATGGACTGAAATCCAAGTTACTCCAGCGGGTAAGTGGCGTCGAGTTTGGCCCATGGAGTTCAGAGCTTGCTCCCAGGCCCCAGCCGTGAAACAGCAGGAGGAACCAGGGATGCAGCCACGGTCACCCTAGTTTTTGTTTCTCCTTCACAAGCTCTGTCTGAAAGACAAACTCTGGGGGATCTACTCCTGCTTTTAGAGGAACCCATCTGGTCAAACCCTGTGTGGCTGCCAGACCCCGTGGCAATGGCAGAGGTCGCTGCTCAGCTTCATGGGTGAAGTGGGACCAGCCATAAAATGAGCCAATTCTTTATCTCATGGTAGTTAATAAGAAAGTACTGACGGGATAAGGTGGGCTCCCTAGAGCAAGGCAGGATAAGCTACCATGTACCTTGGCTAGTGGAAACGCCACTGGACCCCACAGGTGTCACAATGACTTGCCAACGTGCTGCTTGAAATGTGCAGTGGGAGCACCCACCACCCACAAAACAGCAGAAAGGTTTTGTGCTGCTTGCAGTCCCATTTATACCCTGATGCTCCAGAAGTCTTCCACCTGGCCAAGCAGAAGCTGTAATGCACCACTGACATTTCAGGGAGGGGCTGATTATAAATTGTTCCTTCTGACATGTCCGATTGAGTGATCCCTGGTCCATCTCGGTGTTTGTAAGGCAGTAAACCCCAGTGTCCCCCCTCCCTTCGCCCAGCACCGTTGGAAGGTTGTCCTCCCTTCCAGGGTGCCTGGGTCTGAAAGAGGGCATGAAACTGGAAGCAATGTACACGCCTGCCAAGTCAGCAGGTCCTTATCCTGCTGGGCTCCCTTCTTTTTGTTTATTCATGCTATTTTCATTATTTAACCTTTGCCTAGCTCTTACCGCTGCATTAAGGGCCATGTCCGTGTTCAAACTCGTGTTAATCGAAATGAGGGTGTGGTGTGATGCTGGCCAAGTTAAATCAGGACAGAGCCTCACGCCAGAGCTTTTAATTCAGTTTAAATTGCCTGATATTAATTGAATCCTAGCTGGCAGACTGGGGGCGGGGGGCACGTTTCTGAGGGGCTGGAGACTTTATCATGATTTTGCTAAATCGAGAGACAACTGGACTTGAATAAGATGAAGAAAGGGCTGAGAGTACTTCACCTCTAGATGTGGATGGAGCCAAAGATAAGACGCGAGAGACGAGACGAGGCTGTGGCCAAGTGGCTGGCTTTCCCCAGGCTTCACCCTCCCCGGGGGGACATCCCTAAGAGCTCCGACAGTCTGCAACCTCTGTCACACACCTTGTCTTCTCCCTGCTGTCATTTCAGCTGTAGCTCACGCTTCCCTGATTAGAGGGTTCCTGATCTCCCTCTTATCTCCCTGCAGGGTGCGGCTGCTTTCTCCTTCCCCAGCGGGGCGAGCATGCATAGGAAGGGAAGTGAGAGGCAAATTTAGCTGTGCAATGTGCAGCTGTGCAGGCGTTGCCTTTGACTCAGCCTTATCAAATGCAGTCTCGAGACCATCACCCACTCTTTTGATGGTGCAGGGCAGTGTTTCTCTGTGGGTCACCAAGCAAGCCAGCTAAGCCTTGCATGTGAGCACGGTGTCTAATGGGATAGGGGCTCCAGCAGCTAAGCCCAGCTCAAATTCTGGCCACGGGGACAGATGGCAGCACTATGCTTCTGCTGCGGGGAGTTAGAGGGGAAGCTTAACTGCCTGGCTAAAGCCTGGCACCATGACCCATCCCAGGCCAGGGGATCTCATGTGCTGAAACAGAGGGCCTTAGGGAGGCCAGCACAAGTCAGTGCTGAAGGACATCGAGGTGGGTGAAGTCCTATTGTACTTTAAAGCAAAGGAAATCTCACTCCCTGACTTTCCGGACAGTCTTATCCTTGGAGGTCAAATATCCTCCCAAAGACACACAGAGTCGTGATAGGAGCCTGGCATTGTTGTCTGTGCTACATTTCTGTACTTTTATAGCAA